AGGTTTCCCCCACCTTCGCCACCACTAATAGCTATCCCACCAACTATCATCACGACAGTACAGCAAGATGTACCTCCCTGTCTGATGACTGCTGCACAGCCTGCCCGCTTTTGTGCCTGCGCTGAAATGGAAAGCAGCACAGTAGTCCTGTGAGCCTTTAAGTTGCGATTGAAGGGACAAAGTGCAAAAAGGAAGGAAAGAATGCAGTGAGTGAACACTGAGAGCAAGCTAGCAGCCATGATATGCAGCCTGTTCCAGTCTGAGAGTAGGGTGCCTATCCATTGACACAAAATGTCCTTACAGCAGCATTCCAATGATAGTTGCCAACATGCTCCAAAGTACAGCATTGAAGTGCAAAGGTGTACTGTAAGTGGATTGGAGATGTCACGTGATGGTACAGAGGACATTAGGTATCAGATGCCAACATTTGTGGATTTCAGTTGCGTATGACCAGAGCCATGGAGCATGCACTGAAACCTTGGTTCTGGGTATCCAAGATAGTGACCCTGGAGGTGCAAGAGACAAACAGGAGTTGCCAGTACCGGCTCTGACTTCCATCTCAGGAACTCTCTGCATCTAACTCCTACCTGTCCCATGGTACAATAGGAAACTACATATTAGTGAGTCCAGATTTGCAGCTATTGAAGCTGATAGCAAGCCATAATCCCTGTCACTAAGCATCTCACTACCCCTGAGCGAGAATCTTGACTCGACATCTAGAATTTTGATCAAAGGTGCTACTAATTGTTCCCATCACTGAGATAGGCTGTGCTGGTTCTCTGATGCATTCACCTGGATTTCTCTCCTTAGATCACATCATTCAGGGCCCTGTATGATTCCACCCTTTAAAAATCATGTTGAGATTATCGATCAACCAATGAGGAAGGTAATGGGAGAAACATTAACACTGTGATAGCGGAAAGGAAATTGCTGCGAAGTAAAGCCAGACAGGAATGAGGTGGAAATGATTACATATACTGTAAGTGTAGTTTTTGAACTAGTGTCAACAAAATTAAAATTACAAGAAAAAATTAAAAGTGCAAAACTGAAAGGAGAATGTTCAAGTGCAGAACAAAGATTGAGGCAGCACATTGCTTGTGCGGGAACGAAACCCAATTCAAAATGGGAGGTAAGACCATCTTTTATGATATTATGTGCAAGCTTTAAGATTTAATTTCAATCTCCAATTTTTAGAATCAGTGCATTTTGAAATTATTTTGTTGGAGTTGTGCCAGTGATATTAGTATGTATTGATTTGTTTGAATACGTTTGGTATATGTATTTTTTATTTTTATCCAAAGTGCATCAGTAGATTTTTCTTTTCACTGGCGAGAATATTGGTTTCCACATGACTGTGATTACCTTGTGATCCCTTAGTATAATAAAGGGATGACAGGCACAAAAACAGTAAAAGGAAGATTTGGTAGCAAGGTTCCTATGAAAGTTACAGAAAAGTTGAAAGGGACCCTTTGACAATAAGTTATAGGTGTGAAAGTGACAATAATAACATGGACAGCGACTGACGAAGGTGTGATATGTAAAAGAGGTATTATTACAGCAGGAAAAGAAAGGGGCGAAAAAGGAGAAATGTGAACAGAATCAAGAGAGCATGATGTAATTTTAATTTTGTCTTTCTCTTCTCCTTTTTTTCTTGTGTTTCTCATCATATTTTTTCCTATGTTTCTTCATGGCAATTTAGTATTGTATTCTGAATTCAAGAATTCAGAAGGCGGTCACTTCAAAGGAGGTGGACAGATTGTGCCCATTTACTTTTGTGGATAAATACAGAGATGTTGAATTTATTTATCTGTGGGGATTTAAATGAGGATGCATTTGCTACATGGCTGGTTTGCAATGCGGAGTGATGGCAACATCACAATTCAATTCCCACACTGGCTGAAGTCATGAAAGTCCTGCCTTCTCAACCATGCCCCTCACCATAAGGCATGGTGAATCTTAGGTTAAATCATCACCAGTCATCTCTCTGTCTCTAACAAGACAATAACCCTATGGTACTCCAGGATTATGATGACTTTACCTTTTACCTTCTTGATTGATTAATATTTACATAGTTGTAGAAAGGTTAACTTGTTTCACACTGTACCCTTGGAAAAGCTCACGAAAAGAGATCTTCGCACAAAGGAAGGCAAGAACCATGACAGAAAATTTGAGGAAAATAAAATTAAAAGGAAAATGATCGGTAATGACTTGGGGAAAAGAAAAGATGGAAAAAAGAAGAGATTTTATTAGAGTAGAAGTACAGTAGTAGAGTAGAAGAATGAGATTGTTGCTCGATGTCAACTCATAAATCCACATAATATTTTCTGCCTGTAGAATTTTTTTAGCTAGCTTCTTGTAATCACTCAAACTGCTTGCTTGTTACTATTGTACAAGATTGATTCTAGCAAACTATATCCTGTTTATTTCAACAAACATTAAGTTATTGCCAATATCAAAATCTCAAACAGAGCGCAAATCATATGTATTTTCTTTATTATTTGATATACTTGAAAAGTAAATTGTGTAAGTTTATAGTTCCATGAATCTGTTTAGGCTTTTAATTCTGTTATTACTTTTGCTTTAATACAATTATTGCCATAGTGTTGCCAGCATCCAATGAAAAATGTCTTACATAGCCACAGGCAGCAGCAAAGTGAACTTTCCCAAATTTTGAGATGAAGGCACTAGGAATGCATTTGCAGTACATCAAGGGAAACATTAGACCAGTTTTAAACCAATATAACTGCAGCATTGCTTTCTTCTTTCTTTCTCTTATCTAAGGTTAATTTATTTCTGCTCGCTCCTATCCTAGGTTTAAAAAAAAAGTAGCTGTATGTTATGCCTACAGAAATCTCAAAGAAAAGAAGGCTTGCAACTTTTGCAATATTCGGCAGTTTGCATGAATGGAAATGACCCGTCTAATAAATTTGCCTTTCACAGTCATGGAATTACATTTGCTTCAATTGAACAAAACATCAAGCAGAGCCCAAAGTAGATGGCCAATGCAATACTGCCTGTTGCACTGAGGTTTAAGGAAAATTTCTGTTCTTTGATGTCAGTTAATTCTATATCAATTGCAATTAATTATATGCAGAGCTGGGGCATTAATTGAGATTTTACTTGAGCATGTATAAATGGACACTTATTTCAACTGTGGAGAGTTTGTATTAGCTGTATGTCTGTAATGTTTCACTCTATAAATAAATTTTATACTGAGGAAGAGACAGCACAGTATGGAGCTGGAGGAGCACAGCAGGCCAGGCAGCATCAGAGGAACAGGAAAGTTGACGTTTTGGGTCGGGGCCCTTCTTCAGAAATGGGGAGGGGAGCTCAGAAATAAATTGGGGGGGGGTGGGGGCTGGGGAAAGGTAGGTAGGATGGTGATAGGTGAGTGCAGGTAGGGAGTGGTGGGGATTGGTCAGTGAGGTGGGAGGAGCAGATAGGTGGGAGAGAAAATGGACAGGTTGTGTCAGATCAAGGAGGTGGGGATGAGAGGGAGGGTCGCTCGTGGGATGAGGCTGGGAGTGGGGAGATTTTAATACTGGTAAATTCCATGTTGAAGAAGCCTGAATCCAATACCATCCTTCACGAGCTGATTTTATAGAATTGCACAATGTCCAATTTAAAATTACAACCCATTTTAATTAAAAATGAACAAACTGAATTTGGTATCAAAGCAAGTATTTTTGTCCTAAGATGTTTACATACCCAATGTCACGATCCCAGCTGATTGTTATTCTCAACAAGTTAGATCCCAGAGTGAAACCTGACTTGATAGATATGTCGATAAAATCTCCACCACTGTTTTTTTTTCAGATTACAGCACCTGCAATAGTTTCTTTTAATCTTCTTCAACGATCCCTATTCAGTTGGCATTGCTGTAATTGGCTTATTTTCGGCAAAGTTCTGCATTCACGATCATGGAATCCCTACAGTGTGGAAACAGGCCCTTCGGCCCAACAAGTCCACACTCAAACCTCAGACCCATCCCCCGATAACCCACCGAATCTACACCTCCCTGAACACTACGGGCAATTTAGTATGGCCAATCCACCTAACCTGCACTTCTTTCGACTGTGGGAGGAAACCGGAGCACCCGGAGGAAACCCACGCAGACACAGGAAGAATGTGCGAACTCCACACAGACAGTCGCCCAAGGCTGGAATCGAATCTGGGTCCCTGGCGCTGAGCCAGCAGTGCTTGCCACTGTGCTGCCCCAATGCTGTTTTGCTATTTTCTTTTAGTTAATGTCTCTTCCTGACACCCTGAAATAAGCTATGACCCAGCTCACTTATTATTTAACGTGTTTGAGCCACATAGGACTTCCCTTCAGCCCAGATTGCTGGAGATTCCTATACTAACACCATGCCTTCTGTTAAGGACGTCTCTCTAGACCCACAGACACAGACTGTAACTCATTGCCTTTTTGAATGCTCTGTCTCTGTCTCCCTAGGTCATTGGACACATTATTGCTAGGCAACAACCCTGTTTTTTTTTACTGTTTTGACACATTGAACTGTTAACTCCCAGCTGTTCTCCAAGGCTGTAAATCCTCCGTACAAATGCATGTACGAACAGACCAGACACCAGGTACCACACTCCGAACAACCTAAAATGAAACTAAATTTCATATCTCCCCCTTTCTACCACACAATAATAAAAATATGATTTCAACTTAAATTGTTCTTCCAATTTAGAAACGAAGTTCTCAAAAATAAGGTGTTACAAGCCTTTGTTGCATGTACTAATAGCCAGTTGCACTTTGCTCCTCCAAACTAAAACCAAATATCTTCTTATATTCCTATATCACACAGTACAATTGTGTTTTATCTAAATGAGGTTAAATCTCTCAAAATTAGATTTTTACAATTACTTTGATAAAATAATTATTTCTATATATGTTATATATGTGCACATTGAACAACTGTAATCCTTTGAATTGAACATTGTTCTTAACATAAGCTGACCTTCCGACTAAATCACTTTTCTGCTTTTTGTAGGAAGTGACAAATCTTATCATCAGTGGCTGTTAACAGTGAAGGTGAGTGGAATCTATCATTCTTACCAAAATGCAAACGGAAATAAAAACTAATATTAAATGAAAAAATGGCCAGGAGTAAACTGAATGTAGACTCCCCTTGTGTATACATACTGAAGTGTTCCTTAAAAGTCTGCACATTGAACTGTATTGCTGCATATAAACAGTTTGAAGAATACAGCCAAGGATCCGTAATCTCTAAATGTTAGCCATGTGTTATGATTTGATAATCCTGTACATTACCTTTCTAGCCTTCCCAGGCTTGTATCACAGACTTTTTTTCATCTACTTTCTTGAGCTGATTGCTAGAATGTGCATGATTACATGATTCGGAGAAGTAAACTGGGTGAATTACTTCTCCTGTGTAAATAGCTGCCTGGATCTATGCTTAGTGACTCAACTTTGATAGTGCTGCAAGTTGAACCCCACACAATGGGGATTTGCAGTATTGATCGTTACTTTGTAGCAACGCCAACATTCTAATCATTCTCTATTATTTAGAAGTCATCCTGTTCACTGTCTACTAAATATGTTTTTGTATTTATTTCCAATTATGTTTTATAACAAGTTTACAAAATAATAACTTAGCTGACCTTTATAGTATGTTTCAATTCATTTTCCAATTAAAAATATTAACTTTTCTTGGCATCCCAATTAGTTCCAAGCAACATGAATTGAAAATACCATTACTGATATATGTAGGAACAATTATGCCGTCAGGTTTTTTACCATAATGTACGTAGATGTGAATAAGTTCTTGACTTATCTGAAAGGATATGAATAAGTTGATAAACTCAAATTTCGGTTCTGAAATTACAGTTGAGAGGATATTTTAAGCCTCTCACCTCACGTAACATGAATTGTAAAACACTTTTGTTAATTTTGTGTACTGTCTGGGCAGAGAAAAGTAAAATGTTTCTTAATTGAAAAAGTTTGTAAGTTAACTAAAATTTCTTGTGCACATTTTAACTTGGGTGTAGAATTTCCAGTGCACTACTTGTTGGATGAAAGGGATGTGTTAAGATTTCAAAGCAAACATCTTCAGTTCAAGTAATTTGCCAGCTGCATGACCATGTCCCTGTGTTGCTAAGTTCAATTTTAACTCCTGGTAGGACATTCTTAACTATTGGGCCCTAATTTAACTCAAGACATTCAGCTGCTCAATTGTTTCCAGCACAAAGCAGCATTGGCTGTTGGTGAAGGATGAGAATTGAATGGCCCTGAGACACTGGGTAGCCATGTTATCGAGCTAATGGGCAACGGAGGTCTAGACCTGCCTTGTAGAGTGCACTGGAGCACATTAAATTCCATTGCAGTCCCATGCAGTATGAAATGCTGAGTTGTATTTATTAATTAGATTCCCACTGGAGCCTGCACATTCACCACCAGAACCAACAGTGATAAAGCTGCAGAAAGGTGGGAAATAGAGCTGTTCTATTTTTAAATGCACTGTCACTCGGTTCCTGTTGATAGAAAGCACAATTTGAATGTTCCACTATGTATAGTGCTGCTATCTTAAACATTTCAATACATACATTTACAGGTGAGTTCAGTATTTATGTCATACACTGAACAACTGTCTACAAATAGTTTAAAAATACAACGTTTAGGTTTTAATTGATTTATATTGGTAATAGATGATTATGCATAAGCAATTGAGTTCTTTAAATATTTAGTGCTGGATTCTTTTTCCTTATTTCAGTTCAATATAAATAATATTCTTTGCCTATTAGGCCTAATTACTTTATTAGCACGAGAACAAGAACTAGTCTTGAAAACATAAACTCAAGGGGCATTCCTCTCTGACCTATAAAATTGATTGAAATTAAATAAATGATAATTGTCTCAGTCTTTGAAAAAAACAATAATAAATATATCCATCTTTGTTCAGAAAGATAAAGGTTGATGCATGAATACCTGATGAATCTAGTATTTTGAGTGTTTCTTTTAACAGTGATGACATAGTTAATTCTGAGTATTGTTCAGAATGCAGAAACAATGTGGAGACGAAACCTCCCATTCCACACAATTACTCTCAAGACTAATGCTTCTTCAAATGCAATATGAAAAATTAATTTGAGTTCAATTTTTTTGCATTTGTAGCATTACTGTGTTTACAGTCACTTTACAGAACTGTTCTCTAAATCTTCTTAATATTTCATGTAAAGGGATAGACTTCAAGTAAGTAAGTAAGTGAGATAAACTATCCCTGCCTGTAGTTTTCAACCTGCCTGCAGCTTTTGACACCATTGATTCCACCATCCTCCTCCTAAATCCAGCAGAATGGGCCTGCACTTACCTGGTTCCAATCTTAACTATCCAATCATAGTCAAAGAATTGCCAGCAGTGGTTTTATTCTTCCCATTTCAGCATAGTTACTTCCAGTGTCCACCAAGGATCTATCCTTGGCCCCTTTCTGTTTCTCATTTACATTCTGCCCCTTGGCAACATTATCTGGCAACACAACATCAGTTTTCATATGTATGCTGATGCCTATCTCTCCCAATCCTACAACCATCTCTAAATTACCAGGCTGCTTTTCTAACATTTAGTAATGGATGAACCGCAATATTCTGCAATTAAATATTTTGAAGATGGAAACCATCTTTGATCCCTGCCACAAACTCTGGTCCTTTGGCATCAACTCCATCACTGCTCCATGATGACTGTCTAACACTGAACCAAACTGTACACAACCTGGCTGCCATAATTGACCCCAAGATGAGCTTCTGACCATTTATCTGTACCATCACCAAAATCACCTATATCATCTGGCCCTGCCTCCGTCTCAAGTCTTTTGTTGCTGAAACCTTACTCAAGTCTTTGTAACATCCAGACTTGACTATTCTCATGCATTCCTTGCCAGGCTCCCACATTCTATCCTTTGTAAGTTTGAGGTCATCCAAAACTCTGCCCATGTCCTAACCTGCATTAAACTTCTTGAAAGTAAAACATTGTAATTTCATATCCAAACCATCAATTTGTACTTAAAGTTGAATCTCTTAGTAATCCAAGATCAAGATGACTACTAAAAAAATGCCAATTCCGTTTCGTTTCAATGTTTGTGTGATGAAATTTTAAAAGCAATTGCTTTTTTTAATTATCTGCCCTGACATAATTTTAAAGTGTTAACCTATTAAATATATTTTTCTTGATTACATATACCATCTGGTCCTTCCAGTTTTAAATTCACTGTGTGATGATACTATGGCTTGAAGAGGTGTATTCTGTCAATTTTTTTAATGAAGAGAAGGTTGAGACCATGATTCCGAGTGGACTGCTAAAAGCCAATAAAGTAAACAGCTTATGAGGCCTTGGTTTTTTTTTTAAGTTGGAACAATAGAAGCAGCCTGAATGGGTATGGTCAAGCTCCCACAGAACCAGAAATGTTAGTTTTAGCTTTTAAGCAGTTAGTGGGTCATGAAGCTGGATGTGGAAGCTATTACTCCCTGTCTGTTATAGTTAAAAGCTGGGGTTCTGTTCCTGCTGCTAGAATTGCATGCGAGACAATCTATTTTACTGAATTTGCCTTTGCCAAGGGTGTGTTTTTGGGATGTTGCTATATTCGAACAGTTAATTAGTAGTTAATATATCTATTATTTTGTTAAGCATTTTAATAGAGTTACAGTTAAGCCAGTTCTTTTATTTCTATTTTGTTTGTATTTTAACTGTCGTGTAAAAATAAAGTGTGTTTTACTTAAAGTCAAGTAGTTTGACCAATTGAATTGCATCTGGAATGCAATGCCTTGTATATACCTTTAAAGTAAGAAAAAGTTAGGGTCAAGGCTGTCTTAGTGTATATTGAGGGGTTGATGTGGTCCATAACAACTGAAAGGTGCTACTTCTTGTGTTTTAATTTGTTTAATATGAATTGTATAGGTGTTTTTCCTGATTTGAAATAATGCATAATTGCAGTAGTATACTAGCTATCTTAAGATCATTATTTTAAGAAAAGACCATTGTGACAAGTTATTTTTAAAAACACAATACAGCAATACAAATATGAGGGTAATTTAAATACAAAAAGTAAAGAGGGCATGTTGCTGTTGTTTAAAATTGAACATTGAGTTCTGGAAGAAGGAATTTTGTTGGAATGTGTTTGTGTTTGTGTTTTGAATTTTGGCTGCTGTTTTTCTGTCCCAACAACAAATCTTCTGGAGTGTCATGCATTGTGATGAAAGACTTTATCTAAACAATGTACAGTTCTTTATATGTTTAAAGACTATGTCATAAAATGTTACACAACACTTCTAATATCTCATTTGAAAGAGCATATGTTTAGGAAACAATTTTGTGCTCCCTCCCAAATCCCTTTCCTTTATTTCTGGAGTCTCCTTCATGATTAGTAATCATTTCCTCAGCCAACTCTGTGACTGTTCTATTTTCCCTTCATGTACTCAGTCTGCCACTTGTCAGTTTGAAATATGCTCATTTTACTTCATCACCTTCACACACATCCTGATCTCTGTTACCTCAGCAGGGAATTGATAACTTTCTAGAAATAGAATCCTCTTCTTTGCTGCACTCCACCTCTTCATGCAGATGCATTTTATAACTTAACTTTACAGACTTAATAGCACAAAAAATGGAAGGAATCAGAGGGACCGTCTTGAGAAACTAAGAAAATGAAACACCAATTTATTTTAGAAAGGGGAATAGGTAGTTTGATAATAACAATCATCAAAACACGATGATTGAATTCAAGGAACAATAGATTAAAAGATGTAAAAGGAAGCACTTGAAAGCATAAAAAAAGTTCGGAACAAATAAAAATCTATAAACCTAATAAAAATAAGAGACAGCAACACACCAAACTTCCTCCAGGACTGTATCTTCAATAACTCGTTGTTCATCAGAATCTTACACTGAGACAGATTACCATAACTTTTTGAAATTTTGGAGGTCCAATTCCTACTTACCAGAGTTCAAATGTTACATGTTTACTTGGAAAAACATCGCAGATTCTCATCGTACAGAATGACCCTGTTGGACCAGGCCTTTGGTAGAGCTGTCCAATTAACCCCAATCTCATTCTCAATATCATGCTCTGCCCTCCTACCTTTGCAAATTTTCATTTTCCTATCTGCATTCCTTTAACAGCTACTACTGAAGCTGCTTCTCCCATTCTTTCAGCCATAGCATTTTTTTCTTAAAATAAATTCTCTTTTTGATATTTTGTCAATTATTTATATCTGTGTTTTCTGGCTACCAATCTACCCACTTGTTTGCCCTTACTTACTCTATCAGTAGCTTCATAATTTTAAACACCTCTAAGTCTCCCCTAACCTTCTGTGCTCTCAGCAGAACAATCCTTGTTTCTCCACATATCACATCACTGGTTTTATTCTGGCAGATCTCTGTGTTTTCTCCAAGGCCTTGACGTCCTTTGTTGAATTTTGTTCTATTGTTTCTTTCATATTTTTGCTGTAAAAATATTCAGGGGTGTATGTCCTTCACAGTATGACTTTTCCCGGTGAGAGAGAGTCAAGTTCAGCCAATTATCCTTATTATTTTTTTAAAACCCTGTATCCTCAGAATGCTTGTCAGTGGCCCTTCATTTTCTAATGCTTTTAATTTGCTTTTATTGTGTATTGAGAATATTAATGATATCCTGTAACAAACAATTTGTCATAGCTCAGGTCTGTTCAGAGATTAGCGTTTAAACAGCTTTTGGAAATTTTTTATGCAAAACTGCAGCTATCCGACATGAAATCAAGCTATGACATGCCTGGAAATGCATCAAATTTGCCACTGCCCCAAATCACTTGTCCTATTTAAGTCTGGGAAGTAATCGTTTTTAAAAAAAAAAGCCTTGGTCCTGTGGCTGAAGCATGTGAAATGTATATGTCATCTTAAAGCATTTGTAATATTATAAACGTATTCTGCAAATGAATTAACCACCCATATATTAATAGAAAGGAAGTGGAGCCATCATAAATACAATGAAGACGAAGGCAAATCCTGCAATGAAGACTGTGTACAAATTTGTAAGTTGGCAATTTTAATTCGGTTGAAAAAGATGGAGTGTAAAACGTCTGTTAAATTCAGTAAATTGTTCATGATGATTATATGTGAATAGGTGCAAAATGCTGACATTCATTAGGATGAGGTGTATCTACCTGAAATTTGTGACTTCAGTGACTGTACAGTCAAGTGTTAGTAAATGAAGAGCTAATCTTAATTTGGGGCAATTTCAAAATCTCATCAGCAGTATTGTCCGAGGTTTTAATTACTTGGAGTTAGAATGCTAGTAAGTTGCCAGGGAAGTACTTCTCTTGCTGCTAATTGAACCCTTTTTCAAAGAAGAATAGGCTTTTGTTTGCCTCAAGATGCTTTGTAATGTTTCCATGCCCAGGTGGGGCATTTCTCTCTCCTCCACTAAGGGATATATGATTCACTGTCTTCATCTTCCAAATGCCTGTAATTGCAGGAGGAATGGAAGTAAATAACACAGGAGGTTGAGGAGTAATTTGGTTAAGGCAGGGGAGTAAAGAATGCGAAGGTGAGATTTAATGAAAGTTTATTTTATAATTAAACAGGCTTTTGGGCGAAAAGGAAAAGATTCTTTCCTCTGATTCAGGAGTCAATGAAGAGGAATTATCCATTGTAATTCCCTCTGATAGAGTGAAGAAAAGACATAGAAACATTTTTTTTTTTAAATTGTAAATTGTTGGAAAATTGAGTCTCTAGAGCAGGGTCCACTACAACATTAAGGGAAAATGGATTAAATGTTTGATGCAGATCAGTGGTACGTCCAAGAAAGTAGCCACTACAAACATAATTAACTGATGAGCTATTAAAATGATTCTTGTTAGCTTGACATTGATATTGAGTGGTATCTTCTGCCTGGATGCCCATCTGGGGGCAGTCTAGTAATGCTTCTTCCAAGACTCCCCTATGGGCTCTTCCTTCATGTGTTGGGTTGATTATCTAGGCAACTATAGATGTTGGCAATAAAAGAATATTACAGGTGTCTTTGTAGAATGTCTAAAGCTCTCTAGGGAACATTTTGACCTTTATTTTTAAAATCCTGTTCTGAATTGCATCGTTAAGTCACTGTAGTCAATGATTCAGATTATGACAGCATAAAATTGGTACATGGTGCCAGAAGTAATAAAACTTGAAAACCTAACTGTGCTTATTATTAAACAATTGAAAAAGACAATTTGGTGCTACTGAGCCAATTGCTTTCTGAATTATCTTAGCACTTGCATATGTGAATTTCACCCTTCAACATTTGCTTCCATTTAAACTTCTGAATCTAGCTCAGGAGCTGAACCTTTTTGCTGTAGAGCATTCTGTGACTAAGGTGATTTATTTGCAGGGTACTACTTCTGTACTTTAACTTCACCATCTGAATCATTTCTCTTTTGCAAGATATTGCAAATTAGCAGACTTTTTAGTTCTGCGGAAAAGTCAGTAATCTGAAACATCAATTCTGATTCTGTATCTATAAAGATGCTGCCTCACCTGCAGAGCATGTCCAGTGTTTTCTGTTCTTATTTTAGGTCTCCAGCATCCACAATATTTTGCTTTTGAAACAAAAGTTTCACTTGGCCAAGAATCAAACATTTCCGTTCTTTGCTGTAGAGCTATTCATTTTAATCTTGATCAAGTGCTGACTTCAGTAATAATCACTGCATAAACTTTGAAATGTCCATCAGTATTTAAAAGTTTGCAGTTTTTGTTCGTTCTATTTTCTCCTCTTGGATTGTTCCAAAATAGTGGAATAGAAATGGTTTAACAGAAAGTCTTGTTGCCAATGGAAACAAATGAAGTACTATGCAGAGGTTTAAATTGAATTCTCTTCTGCAATTCTAGGCAAAAGATCATGCAAAAATGGGAATAAAAGAAGTGAAAAATCGTTTGAAGCAAAAGGTATTTTTTCTTCTTACAAAGTGTTCTGCATTAAGTACTAAACCAGCAAATGTATTTTGTGATCAATATGAAATTGTTTGAAGCACTGTTATGACCACACTTGAAAATGCATTAACAGAGACAATATTGAGTGAGCTTTTTGGAAAAATATGGATAGCTGCCCAAGGACTTTTAATTCAAGAACGTTCCTTTGTTTCCACCTGAGTTTTACTCTTGATGTCTGAGTAAGTGGTTAAAGCATTAGAGATATGGTGGGTAAAGCTTTCACTTTTATGCCCAGCAACAGGCTTTAACTTGAACATCACAAGTACATCTCTACTGGACTGTTATCTTTGTTTCTATTTATTACAGCTCTGAACTTTGTGGTCTAAATGAGAATACCAATTAGTGACTTATTATGAGATAACAAGGTGTAGAGCTGGATGAACACAGCAGGCCAAGCAGCATCAGAGGAGCAGGAAGGCTGACGTTT